CGTCGGTACGTTCGAGTCAACGTTGAGCGCACAACGCCATGTTTTTTTAGCTATTTTAGACCAGGGGATTTGATCTTTAGATTCGAAAGTATCACACTCTTCAAGCGCTTCTTCTAAGCCCATTGCGTTGTATTGTTGTAAAGTTGAGACGATAGAGAGGTTTTGGTGGTTCGGCGCATTGCGCGAATCCGCGCATTCCGCGCACGGACACAGTACCTCTCTACCTCTACCCCGTCATCCTTGGCAACTATACCACTACCTCTACCCTCGGTCCGTGCGACCACTACCACACCTCTGGGTAGGGGATAGCCATTTACCAACGTAGATACATCCTTACCAGGCACTAGAATATAACAGAAGAAATACTATAAACTCACACGCATAGAATTGCCTTGGCATCTATTATATATCCAAGTTCCCATCTTATACTCTTCAGGCTGGATTACAGCGTCTACACAAGGGGTCACTAGTAACCCCATGCACCGGCACGATATCTAAATAGCTCTCTAATACTACGATAAGATCCAATCTTCCTAGACCCCCAAATCAGACAGCTCCCTTCCCACTAAACAATCCCCTAAATCGTATACCTAAACCTCGGACTATCATCCCCCAACTCGGCAATCTCTTCATCGCTCAAACTCTGCACCGCAGCATCCTCGTCACCGCGCTCCCTCTTGGCATTCGCCCTGGAGAAATGAAACCATAAAATGCAGTAGCATGTACATGCGAACCCTACCATTGCCATCGTGATACCGTGGCCCTTGATAAAGCGGGGTCGATCGGCGGTTGGATAAATCTATTTGGGTCAACATTAGCACTTTGTAGTCCCCCAAAAAACGCACAAACGAAGAAGGAAAGGGGAGAAAACGTACAAAAGCACTCATGATCCCCGCGCAATTCCCAATACTAAGCTGCAACCCCGTCGCGGTCGTCCTCTTACCGTACCGCGGCAAATTCGTCGGCAACCACGCAAGCGGCAACCCGACACAAACGTACAGGCCCATTGCCACCAGAAAACATCCCGCATAGTGTACTTTGGAGTTTGCATCGCTAATCAGCATGGCGTACCCCACGATACTGACAAGCCCCAGGAGCACACTGTACAACCCGCGTTTCTGCTGACGATCGGAAAAGTGCGCAACGACCAGGTACGTGACGGCGCCGAGGGCATAGCACGGGATAGTCAAGACCTGCACCATGGCACTACTCGCCGTCGTATTGATCGAGCGGATAATCGTCGGCAGAAAAGTCGAGTAGCCATAAAGCATGGTATCAGATCCAAACTGCGCAAAGCAAAAGGTCCAGACTTTCCAGTCTTTAAATGCCTTCTTGACGTCATCCCAGTGGAACTCGGCCGCTCTCTTCGTGTACCCCGTTTGGCGCTTAAGACGGGCAGCTGCAAAAGCTTTTTCTTCGGGAGAAAAGAAATACGCGGTTTCCGGGGAGTTGGGGAGGACAAACCAAGTGGCGATGCCGAGGAGGAGGGTGGGGATGCCCTCGAGAATCATGATCCAGCGCCAGCCGCGCTGGCCGGCGGTGCCGTCCATGTGGCCGATTGCGTAGGCGAGGAGGCCGCCGCAGGCGCCGGCAAGGGCGGCGGAGACAAAGAGGTAGCCGATGCGGAGAGCGAGTTCGCGTTTAGTGTAGAAGAAGGTTAGGTAGACGGCCATGCCGGGGAAGAGTCCGCCTTCTACAGCTCCGAGTAGGAGACGGCAGGCAATGAGGCCGCCGTAGCTCTGGACGATACCGGTGAGGGTTGCGATGATGCCCCAGGCGAGGGTGATGAATGCGATCCATCGGGAGGGTGTGAACTTTTTCAGAACCAGGTTTGAAGGGAGCTCCGATAAGATGTAGGTGACGAAGAGAATCGAGACTGCGGTTTGGAACTGCGAGTCGCTCATGTTGAGATCCTCCTGGAGACCGTAGAGACGTGCATTTCCAATGTTGACTCTGGCATTGTAGTTAGTACGTCGGTGCTGCCAAATCCACAGAGTTTTTTTTCAATGGTTTAGTCTTTTGCAAGCAAGAAAATCTCCTCTAACTCACCTGTCAAGGAAACTGAACAGGTACAACAGCATAACCACTGGGATAATGTAGATATCTAGCTTGCGCACAAGCTTAGCCTCAAAAACAGGATCAATCCCATCTCTCTGGTCAGCAATTTCCTCGCTCTTCTTCGCACCACCTGGCGTCGCCACATCGTACTGTTTCTCAACGTCGCTCATTGTGTCGTCAGAACCGTTGTGTCGTTTCCTCGGAGAGAACCCGAATGACTCGTCGCAAAGTCGCAGTCGCGCTGAATTCTTCTTTTTTTTTTCCTTCGTGGATTTGCCGTGCGTTGTCTTCAGCAAAAAAAGAAGGGACAAAAAAGAGAAGTTGTTTCTTAGTTCGCAAAATCAACCGAAAACCGGACCCGTCATCGTGTCGTTACCCTCAGTGCATTGCCACGAAGGGGGAGAAAACGGGAAGGCCACTCATGCTTTAAATCGGTTGGATTATTTCAAACATTGGACGACACAGACGACTTCTGCAGGGACCCACTCGAGAGCGAATTGCAGATCCGAGGCGGGGCTGCGACTTGAATGGTCTGAGGCGCTAGCCACTTGGAGTATGACGTGAACGGCTTCCTTGCTCATGGCATAGATATGCCCGCTGGGCAACTGATAACGAGCCAGCTCGTGGATGGACTTGTTTGCTTACCAACTCCCAAGGTTGCAGAAAATACTCGAATGAAAAATGGGGTTCGGCATGTGTTGGGTTTGTATCGTGTCCACCCTGTGTTACCGTACGTAATGACCTCATTTATCGGCTGGTGTCTACGTTGCATTAGTTTGGGAGTAGTGATGTGTTGCTTAGCCAATCTGATTTGTCTCTAGCTGTACTGCTGCCATCATGCTGTCAACCCAAGAATTGTTACATCGATCTTGCTCGTCCACGGTTGACCTCATAGCTGATCGGTCGTCTTGCGCTGATCATGGCTGGACACTGCTGATCCCGAATTTGGTCGGGTTACACAGCGTTAGCTCGCTCTTCGCCAACATGTCCATCTTTCGCCTCATACAGCATGAATATCACAGCTTGAGTAGTACCAATCATCTCCGCTACTTTCCTTCCTTAACTCCAACAATTTGGATAGCCAAAAGGTGTCGTGCTGAAATCTACAGGAAGCGTGAGACCAGCGTAAATGTCAATCTGAGCCGAAGGATCAATAGGAGATACCACCTCATCGCGTGGTAGTTCGATTTCCGCAGCCACAGGTTCCACCCCCTTAGATCCGGTATGCTGGGTGCTCGTACCAGAGAAACTCAGGCGCGCAATGGCTTGAACTTCCATTGCCATTACCTTTCCGAGAGGCCAGGTGGACCCCATAGTTTTCAGAAAGCCAATGCTGAGGCTAACGCGGTCGCGTGCTATGGAAAGGGCATGTCCGTCAAGCAGGTATATACACGCAGCTATCTGTACGGCAGCCATCTGTGCGGTCATATACGCAGTGAAAATGTTATGTTTTTCAAGTGCACAAGGAATTGCGAGAAGCCTCGTTGCAATCTCTGTGGCTTTCAATACGCGTGCAGTGTGTGAGTTCCGCCCAGCTTTCGGCACGAGGGTGAAGGGCGAGGGCGCTATGAAGCCTCGTGTAGACATTTCTCCTGGGCAGTAGCCTAGTGACGAGAAAGGCCGGTGAACTGTAGACATTATGCTGTGGTCACGTCAGCGTGCTTTCAGAAAGCGGAGGATAAACACTTGCATAGCAATAACCATATGCGCCATGAACCTGTGGAAACAAAAGTATTAACAAGAACCCTAGGATCTCAACTCGACAGTTCTCGACATACATGATCTCGTCCACTTCACCGTTCATACGAACTGGGTCCTTCTTACAGGATGGCAGTAAAGACATCCAGATAGCAAGCTTGACATCGCAACTCTCAACAAGAGCTTCGTTTATCACAGCAGTATGGATAAATGTGCTCATGACTAGTGTGGTTAATACGACGTCCCATGCTAACACTGAATTTTCGGCTCAAACTTACTGAATGCGACAATCATGGCAGCATCATATAAGTAAGTGATTGAAGAATATACTACCTCAATCTCTGTGAACTCGCGGAGCTGGTACTCGGCCCATGTTGACACGGGAGGGATTTGCTAATCATGTTACTAATTTTTTCCAGCAATTCCGAGCATATTGGTATAACATACCCCACGTTGGTAGTACTCGTCATCACAAGGCAAGTCAACGTTGCTTGGCACTGCCAGCAATACATGGAAGGGGGTGTTGGTAACCACGGCAAAGTGCTGGTCCACACAATAGAGCAGGTAATAGGTTCTCCTCCATGACTCCTCTAGCACAGCGTCACCTTCACCATACGCGTGGGCAAAGTCCCTTTCGTTCATGGAAAGCTCCAAGGCAAGTGTGACAGCTGTTTCTAACCTCTTGCGAGCCTGGCTCTTGCGATCGCAGTAAAATTCTGCGAGTGCAAACAACATCAGTGATTGGACGTTGAATGGCGTACGTTCAAGCGTGGGTGAAGCAACTGCCTTGAGAGCTGCTTCACGATAAGGCTCTGATGGCACCCAGGGCGCGTACAATGAGCCGATCCATTGCAAGACGAGCAATAGGACTGGCATGCCATGATTCGCTTTCAGGCGCCTGGTTTGTAGATAAGGGTATGGCAAAACGATCGGAAACGAAGACCAGAAGTTTTCGAAAAACAGTTCTAGAAGGCGATCGTTGTCGATCTGGAATGTCACACGATTTTGCTGAAGGTGTGATGTAGCGAGCGAGAATGTCTTGTCTGCTATGTTGTTCGAAAAGAGATTCGGAGACGACTGGGCGCAGGTTGAGTCTGTTGGTAGGTGCTGCTCCGAACCCGAGCTGCTAGGAGAAGCGGGTGTGTTGCGCCGGGCGCTTTCAGCTTCTTGCTGCAATCGTAGCCGTCGTGCTGCGAGGGCTGCTCTATCCAGCCCTCCTCTTCGTGACTTTTGGTAAACGCACTCTTTCCCATCGCGCTTGCATCTTTTGCATACAGGCTGCTCGGCATCGCACTTGACGTGTCTGTTGCGGCATTGAACACATGCCAATACAACCCGCTCACTACGCTTTTCGGCCGATGGTTGATCCATCGAACATCAACGGTGTGACGGAGTAAATGGAAGAATTACTTGGCTGGAGGCGCTGCGAGTGACGTTTCATGCAGTGCAAGGGTGATGTTTCTTGGGTGTTCATATGCTTTAACCAAGTGCTGTGATTGCCAAGTGAAAGGTAGCAGTAAGCCTGACCTGGGTGTCAAATGTGGCCATGGTTGCCCTGCCGGTAACTGTCCGGATGAGAGCCGGAGCCGCATTTTCCCAAACAATCTCGCATTTATGCAAAAGTAACGACATGCAATACGTTGAACAAGTGTTTAGATGCTTGCGCTGATCACGATTCGTCTTGCAGAAAGCGTGTAATGGCGTCATTAATTTTTGGCCGTTTGCCCGGCCTCTTCTACCCTAACCTTACAATAGAAAACCACACTAATACATTTGTACAAAAAAAAAGAAACTGCAGTGGAAGCCGACCTTCGACATACGATGGGCCAACACAACATCCAAATGGGGTCTCAGAGCATAAAGCATGTCATCGTATGCGTTCCCAGACCTGACGGATTTGCATCCGTGCCAGCTGGAGGTCGCCGCTTTTCCATCGTATATCTATGTTTTGAGATGAACTCGTTCGCGTGTGCGAGTTCGGAGGTACAGATCGCGGATCTATCGCAATTTGCCCTGTTCCTGAGCTTCTTTCACCTGCTCGAAAACCTGTAATCTTGTGTTAGCTTCAACGACTTATAGGACAAATGGGGCCTTTCATACCTTCAACATCTTCCTACGCGCTCCAAGAGCGTTAACTCCGCGCTTCTCCAAACCTTCGTCGTCAAGCTCGATGAGCTCCTGCCATTTGAGGTCCTTGAGGTTATCCGTGTACTTGTGCAACCGGAGACTGCGGAGCCAGTTGGGAATATCCGAGAGGAGACCAGGGTCGGTAGGGTCCTCCGGAGGCTTAGAGCTGCCACGGCGACCTCGGGGAGATCGACCACGGTCAATGTTGTCACCGAGGAAGCCGTGGCCGTCATTGTTGCCTCCGCTACCCAATCCAAACTGAGCAAGGTTAAGGGCACCCATACCGTTGTTCATCATTCCACCTCCATATTCAGCAGCTAGGAAACCGTTGGCCTGGGGAGAAGTGAAGCTACCCATGGCTCCCATGCCCATACCCTGGCCCTGCATTGCAAAACCGGGGGAGCTGGGCCGAGATCGGCGGCCGTTCATTGCAGCCAACTGTTGGGCCTGCAGAGCAGCCGCTTGCTGGGGAGTCAAGACCTGGCCCATCTCGTTTGTCATGAGAATGTTTCCGTTGCCCATTTGAGGCATACCAGGCGACATGGGACCGTTGTCTGATGAGCGAGCGCGACGGAACTTGCGCACATCGTCCAGCTGAATACGGTTGTTGACAGTAGAGAGTGCAGCAAGCTTCATAGCAGTTGCATTGGCAACCATGTCAGCCTGGTTGTTAGACTGGCTAAAGTTGGCGACCATGGGGGTGCTCAGCTGCGACGCCCAGCTGCCACCTGGCTGGTAAGAAGGTGAAAGGAGTGGCATGTTGGAGTTTGCCTCGAGAGCATTTAGAGTAGTCGTCTGCACACTATTGGCATCATTCTGGAGGGGAAGACGAGGAGATCGAAGACCGGCGGATGGAGGGGGCTGCGAAAACTGGCCCATTGGTTGTTGCTGCTGTTGCTGCTGCTGGCCAGAGGACTTTGGACGGTTCGCGCCTTCGTTCCAGGGAGATGCCGGCGGGGCATTGTTTTCCCTCTTGTTGTCCTCGGGGGCAGAGATGGTGGGAGCTGCCATTGAGCTGCGGTCGCCGACAGTGCTGTTGCGATTTGACGCCGGTGCGACGCCTACAACATCGGTGAACTCAGCCTTCTGCTTAGCAATAGCTGCGGCCGCATCTGGGAACATGCGATTGATGGTGGAGGTTTCCAAGCCCGAGTTGCGTTTTCCAGCACCCGGGGATGGCGGCGGGCGACCGAGGCCCATGGAATGGCGGTTTTCGCCCGTGTTGAGCTTGCTCATAGCATCACTCAGTTTCTGCGTCATTGGGTCTAGTACATGTTAGGATGGGAAAGCATCGGGGGAAATTAGGATTAGAAATTCTTACCCTTTTCCCCAAAGTTGGCAGGCGAAAGCACTCCAGACATGGGCACGTTCTTGGACATTTGCTGCAGGACCTGGATAAAGAACCTAATCTGAACCTGGGTTGTCTGCTGCAGGAGAGCGTAGAGGGCAGCGGTCCTCTCGGCCTCGCTAAGGACGCGGAACCACTGCTCGATGGCGCTCAACTCATCCTTGAAGTCCTGGTCGAGGGTGGCTGTCGCCATCTCCTCGAGCGTGGTCTCATACTGGTCAATGTCGGCGAGCCACTGCTGGGCAGCACGCTCCATCTCGTCTGGGTTGCCAGACTGAGTGTTGTTGCGGCCAAAGTAGATCTCGGAGGCGGGGCGAATGCCGCGGTTGGCCAAAGGCGAGGGGAAGCCGCCCAGATCAGCAGAGGCGCGGAGATGGTGGTTTGCACCGAGCGAAGAGCGGGCCTGGGGGGGACGGAGGGAGGAGGAGCCCTCGGGGGTGCTGTTCCTGTTGGCGGCGATGTGGCTGGCAGACATGATGAGGAGTAGTGGTTGAGCGTGGCGGGCAGTTGGTGGGTTGAAATTCTGGGCTGACGGTGAGCAGGGCGAATACGAGAGGGTGCGGGCCGTCGAGATGGGACGTACAGTGTCGACGGATGGAATTCAGCGTCTGTGGGTCGAAGTAATGGATGCACACGAGTGTCTCCTGCAGTCCCAGCTGTGCCTCAAAGGAGAGCTCGAGGTGCGAAGTGTCAGGGGAGAGACAGGATCGCGGAAGGGCTGATAGGCGCAGGCGAAGGCGCAGGCGAAGGCGAAGGCGAGGGGAGCGCTGTGCAAGAGGGGAGGGGCAAGCAGCGCTATAAGAAGAGAGCGGGTAATATATCCAGCAACAAAGAAGGGAAAAGGTCGGCGATAAGGAGGCAGACCAGCGGAAGAAGGTCACTGCCAGAGGTAAAGAAGGGGACAGTGAACTCTTGTCAGGACTCCAAAAGGCGTTGGTTCGTTAGCGTGCAGCCAATCACGGCACCCTGCGCAAGACTGAAGCAACGGCACGACTGGCCCAGCGCTAGTCCTCAGCTGTTACAGATGATGCGAATGCCTGGTGGAGCCAGGTGGTCTTTGGGACGCCTCCACGGCCATGCTGCAAAAGCTTGTGCGCCTGTCTTTGCCAGCCTGAGCGCCCTGAGGCGACGCCGCGTGCCTGTGCGTGCGAATCCCCGTCTGAGGAGGGTGTGCAGGGTGGGTTGTATGTACCTACTGTGTAGTAACCAAGTCCTGAGTACATACTGTGTGTGCACCACACGCCTCCGCATCCCCGGCACGCCGCCCAACCAAGCAGCCAACCAACACCCACCACCGCCCACGGCGCCATACCATGTCCATGGTCGTTTCGAGTACCGGCCAAACGCAATTGCCACGCTGTGCTGATGTACTTACCGTGTGCTTACTGTGTACGTACCGCCCAGGTGCCTGATCAGAGATCCCACGGCTGGTTCCGCTGTCAGTCTCCGCCCGGCATGCCATGCCATGCCATGCCTGGGTCCTCCTGCGAGGCATAAAATAAAAATAAATAAATAAATAAATCAAGGGCTCGATTCGCAAGCCATCTGTAACATGGTGCTGGGCCCTGTCGCGCCTCCCATTGGCAACGCCTGCGCGGGGCGACCCATCAAACGCTCCGGCAAACAAAAGGAAATGCTCCGGACTGGCTGTTCATGCGCCGCCTGCAATAAATCCCTAGCCAGTATCATGGCTCGAGGGGCCGACTCCCCTCGGCGTCCCCAATACCTACTTACCTACATAACCTGGCCGTTCCGACGACGTCGTATTTTGTTATTGCAGGAGCACTCGCCTAGCTTGTAGACCCGACACGGCTTACTACCTTAGCCGCTGCTTGCCTGTTCCGGGGGTCCCGGCAAATACCACCCACCTGCACCACCTGCACCCAGCACCCAGCACTCGGCCAAACCACGTGCATGATTCGAGTCGTGCCAAAAGACGCCTCGACTCGTGCAAAAATCGATAAATCCTTACATTGACATCAACGGCTTTCCTGTACGCATAGACCCTCGGGGCAGCCACGGCTTGGCATTCATCCCACACACACACTGCTAGCTGTGTGTCGACTAGATATTCTCTATCTATGCACACAGGCCGTCGTGTCCATGCCACGCCTCTAGTTGACATCTTGCTCATCAATTCATTTCCCAGGCCGTTCCCAAGGGACATGCTCTTGCGCTTGTGCACGTCAGCGGTCAGGGCTTAGAGTTTGGAGTTTATATGAAGCCCGAGTCGTCAGCATCGGCCTTGGCTTGGGCCCTTCACGACAGTATAGCGTAGGCGGTAGGATCCAGCCAAGTCGAGTCAATTGGCTATCTGATTGATTTCTCTCATCTTGTGGTAAATCCGCTTATGATGCTGCTGCTGCTGCTGCTTGTGATTGCTGCGCCGCCGTCTGGATCTGAATAATCTAGTCGGCAAGTCAGCGTGCCTACCATGAAAACCACCATCCAACCAACTCACCTCGCCCTTGATCTCCTCGCTGTTTTCCTGTATACCCTGGATCTGCTTCTCAATGTCCTTGCTGCTGCCTGTCAACACCATAGCTCCCTGCCAATTGCAAGTCAGACCTACATCTGCTTGTCAATGAATTCCAGACGTCCATTCACTGCCATGACTGCCTCTGTCTTGTCCTGCTTCAGCAGCACTGGGCCGATCTGCTTGTAGATGTTGGCATCGTCGTCGAGGATGTCGAATTCCTGCAGTGAAGCGTCTCAGCGTATGTCTAACATGCGTGCATCTTGTTCGGCTACCTTCTTGACGGTGCTGTTCTCCTGTTGTTGCGACTCAAGTTTTTGGCGTGCCTCAACTTTGGTTCCGAGATCTATTCCGACGTTAGCAGTCACTCTACTATCGCTGGCAACAACTGCTTACCCGCTTGGAGGCTTTGGTACTTTTCGGAAAGTTCCTGCAGCTTCCTTTGTACTTCGGCCATGGCGTTTGTGATGCTGAGTAAGGCTTGACTGGGAGTTTGGTCGTATGCTCGCAGGTCGCAGGTGGGAGAATAAACTTTCCCAAAACGGTTAGAAGCAACGCGGGGCGGGCTAGGTTCCTTGGCTACGGCCATAGGCCATGGCAACTTGACGGTCTCCTCCACGCCCGCTGCCTGCGACAACAACCTACCACAAACAATCCCTCGCCAAATTTACTCTGTCGAGTGCCGTGAACAATATACAGACCTCATACTACCCGCCGTGTGTGCCCAAACATACCGTCTTCAACGGCTCGTGCGTGCCCCGCCTGCCTGCTCTCATCTGTACACAAACGCGCCCACCCACAACAACGTCCTTGAGCACGGTTCACGCCCACTGTACAAGCCATGAGCAATGCGGATTTCCTCGGTCGGGCCATCGAAACAGTCAAGAAGGCCATTGAGACTGATACAGCGGGCGAATATGAGAAAGCCTACCAGCTATACTACAGCGCCTGTTAGTGACACAGAAGGCAGCCTGAGGCTCTCGCATACTGATGAGTACTAGTGGAGCTTTTTATGCTCGCTCTAAAATGGGAGAAGAACCAAAAGTCCAAGGAAATGATTCGTGGCAAGGTCGCCGAATACATGGAGCGCGCCGAAAAGCTCAAGCAGCACCTTAATCAGAATGACGCTTCGAATCGCAAGAAACCAGCAGCGATGGGCTCGAATGGCAAGGCAGCAGGTGGTAGTGGCAAGGGCGGAGGGTATTTACAGCCGCAAACACAAATCTAAAGTGTCATCATGCTAACATGTGACAGTGACGACGACGAAGGCGAACAGGATGCTGATTCCAAGAAGCTCCGCGGTGCGCTTGCGGGTGCTATCCTCTCTGAAAAACCTAATATTCGGTGGGAGGATGTTGCTGGTCTCGAGGCGGCAAAAGAAGCACTCAAGGAGGCCGTCATATTACCCATCAAGTTTCCACATCTCTTCACCGGAAAGAGACAACCATGGAAAGGTATATTGCTGTATGGACCACCTGGTACCGGCAAGAGTTATCTGGCCAAAGCTGTTGCGACCGAAGCGAACAGTACCTTTTTCAGTGTGTCCAGTTCGGATCTTGTGAGCAAGTGGATGGGTGAATCAGAACGGCAAGTCACAAGGATTCTCATTATACAAGGCGCATGACTAACATATCTTCAGCCTCGTCAAGCAACTCTTCGGCATGGCACGTGAGAACAAGCCTTCAATTATCTTCATAGACGAGATTGACGCTCTCTGTGGTCCCCGTGGAGAAGGCGAATCAGAGGCATCAAGACGTATCAAGACCGAGTTGCTAGTACAGATGGACGGTGTAGGCAAAGACTCGAAAGGTGTGCTCATTCTCGGAGCAACAAACATTCCATGGCAGCTCGATTCGGCTATCCGACGACGATTCCAACGACGAGTACACATTAGTCTACCAGATCTTCCCGCGCGCATGAAGATGTTTGAACTTGCGGTCGGAAACACACCCTGCGAACTGAACCAAGCAGACTACAGGAAGCTGGCAGAGCTTAGCGAGGGGTATTCTGGTTCCGATATTTCCATTGCAGTGCAGGACGCGCTCATGCAGCCTGTACGTTTGATTCAGACGGCAACACATTACAAGCCCGTTGAAGTCGATGGGCAAACGAAATGGACGCCTTGTTCTCCTGGCGACCCACAGGCACACGAGAAATCATGGACAGATCTCGATGGCGACCAGTTGCTCGAGCCACCTCTCAAGGTCAAGGACTTTATCAAGGCCATCAAAGCTTCAAGACCGACGGTTAGTGGTGAGGATCTACAGCGCAGTGTTGAATGGACCAAGGAGTTTGGAAGTGAGGGCGCTTAATGCAACGTTTTTTTTATGGGATGAAGGGCGGTGCTGTATATCTTGGAGGCGCTTTTGGTGTTCATGTCCCTTTTTAGCATAGCGATTTCAATGTGTCAAATCAATGGATACGGTACCAATGTCAAAGCGCTCTTACAATTCTTAGATGAGCATGTCCCAATTGAGCATTTGTTGTAAGAATTTGAGATTGGTCAATTTCCTGGCGAGATCCGAGCTTGGTCGAGGTCGGAGTATTGAGGTCAAGCGATTGGCTACTTGGTTAGCATGGTGATGCTGGGTAGTTGGACGTGATACCTAGAGCACCAGCACGCTAAGATAAACATCCCTGTCGCAGCTCTCTTACCAGCAAGCCATTCATTCCATTGCGCCTGGCACGGGACTCGTCTTAAGCCGCCGCCATGTCCAAAGACGACGCCGAACCCTCATACATTGACTATGAAGCCTTTCTCGACCCAGACTTCTCGGCAACGTCCTTTGCCAACACGCTCGTCCTCTCGACCAACAACCCCTCCGACACCCCGCTAGACTTGTCGACACCGCTGTCACGCGTTCTTTTCGATGTCCAGGAAGTCGACACGCACATTGACACGCTTACGACCAAATCGGCATTGCCGCTGCTAGAACACACGCGCGAACATGCAGACTCGAGTGCGCGCATCCTGCACGAGGTAGAAGGCCAGGTCGCCAGTCTGACCGAGTCGTACCGGACACTCGAAAAAGAAGTCATTGAGCGGTACGAAGTCGCCGCCCAGGTCCAACTCACGGCCGAACGCCTCTGCGAGACGGTCAAGCTGGGGCGCGCAGTAGCCCGCTGTCTGATGCTCGGCCGCCAACTCGAGGTCCGCATGGCGGAGCTGGGTGGCGTAGGCAGCGCAAAGAAGGAAGACCACCGCGCCATGGTGCGCTCTACCGACACCATTCTGTCCCTCCGCCAGATCCTCTCTGCCTCGAAACCAGGTGAAGAAGGCGAGGGCCTCGATCGCATCAACGCAATCAACACTTTAAAAGCCGAACTCGTGAACCCCGGTGAACGCAGCATCGCTTCGCGCGCCAACCAAGTAATCAAGGAATTCTCAATGTCCTCCCTACTCTCCTCCTCCTCTGCTACCGCTTCGTCTGCATCCACCTTCTCCCAAAACGAAGACACAAAAGCTCGCACGACATCCGCTTTGCAAACACTCTACTTATTATCCCCCGTACCAGCATCATCTTCCACTAAACCCTTCGAGCCAACACTGATGCTCACCGCACTCCAAGAACACGTCCAAACGCAGCTCAAATCCTCGCTTGCCTCGCTCGCCCGCGCTCTAGCTCAACTACCGTCTCTCGACCGTGCGTTGCTCGAGATATCAGCGAGATGTCAGAATATAGTTGCCCTGCAGTCGCTTTTGGAGTCGATAAAGACGCCATCTCATCCCCTTCTGTCTGCGGCATTGCAGCAGCAGGGGAATTTACTACAACCGCTACTACAAGCACTAGATACGTCGTCCCTTCCTAGCTATTTCTGGCGTACACTCGCATCGAACATGGCACCGAGAGTGCAGGATCTGATGAATAGAGGGGGAGTGTCTGCGCGGACGCTCAAGAGTAATAAGGAAAAGGTGAGGGAGTCGGTGAGGGAGTGTGTGAATCGCGGGAGTCAGTTCCCTGGGAATAGTAATTTGGCAAAAGGTGCTGGCAATAGTAGTAGTAGTGCGGCGGTGACGTGGGAGAGAGAAGCTGCTGTCATGGTGAGTAGCATTGTTGGGCAGATCAAATAAGAGAGGATATACAAGTCACGGAGATCAAAGAAAGCAACACCATAGAATTGAGGGAAGAAAGATTTGCATTGGAAAAGATGTAGGGGCTAGCTTTGAGCTCATCTAGATACCATGCCAGGCAATCATGATTGCTTGCTCGCTCTTCATAGCAGCCATACCATGACGCCAGTCGCCATACCCGTAACTCCATCTTTTCCAACCGGGCCCCCAAAAAGGCTTTTCTTGATTTTACTGTTATGTATCATATAGACACGGGTTTTTTGTTGTTTTTTCCTTCTACGGGGAAGAGTCTTTCAAGACCCACGTTATAGTTGTGTTCGTGGAAAACATACGTTGGTTCGTGCAAGTATGTCTATAATCCGACATACAGACTCCAACGCAGTTTAGAGACAACTCCCAGACTAGTCAGGTCCTCCCGCTGACAACGCCAACAAGAAGATGACCAACTTTGAAATGAGCCAGTTCGTAGCGCTCATTGGGGCAGTTCCTAGAGGAGGGAGAGGAACTGCAGAATTTCCATAACAAATGACATGCGAGTCAACATGTAACGTATTGGGTCGGGTCGAGTGTGGGGGTGTGGTCAGCCTTGAAAAAGAGTATGTGTCCAGGGCTGATAACGTTAAAAGGATATGGTGGGGAAAAGCGACCTGTAGCAAGAGAAGGGCTACAGATATCCAGTAGGCATCGAAAATAAGGTAGGGTCGAACAAAAGACGATCGTACTAACTGTAATCCTGGATAAAGAAAGGATCCGAGCTTTTGGAAAGACTATACCAACCGCCGATGGTGCTGAGTAGAGAATCGAAATGAGGACGGAGGAAAAACTAGATGATGCAGTGGACGAAAACCGTTGAGATGTACCGTCGAGAAGGCGGAGACAAAGCGTCTCAAGAAAGTAAGTCGGCAAGACCAGCCGACCGACAAAAAGCAGAAAACAGTTACGACCCAGGCAACCCTTGATATAGTACATAGAAGATGGTCCAGATCGTTAAAACCGTATTGCGCCAATGATCCGATTCGCGGTACCTGGGAGAGAAAAGTCCAGGTGTCCCGTATCGTGTCGTCAGCGGCTGCTTGCATAATTGCATACAAATGAAAAACGCCAGAATATGTATGTGCAAATGACACCGCCAAGTGTTGTTGCGGCCCCCGAGCAGGAAGAAGTTGCGACATGGGAAAATGTACCAGTTGTTGAAACCAAAAGACTACTCAGATGGCCAAGTCCCGCCAGAAGCGGCAGCCGGCCTTACGAGGCCTGCGGTGGGTTTGCAGGCTGCGGCCTAGGATTCCGCTGAGTGTTCTGGCCATTCTGTTGGCGGTTTTGCTGGTTCTGTGGAGGTCCTCGGCGTTGTCCCTGGAATCCACCGCCACCGCCGCGTCCACCGCGGAAGCCGCCACGGGAATTAGGGTTTCCGCGTGCAGCACCTTCCTGCTCTTGTTGCTGAATCTGAGCAGGAGCACGTGGCTGGTTGGACATGGGACGAGGGATCGACTCGGGCGATTCATAAACGTAGAGGTTCTTCTCAATGACCTGAGGAATGGGCTGAATCTCAGTACCAAGCTCTTGTTCAATCCTATACAGGTTGAAGCGGTCTTCCCAGTTGATCAGGTTAATAGCCAGACCAAGGTGTCCAAAACGACCAGAACGACCAATACGGTGCAGATAAGTCTCGGCGTTCTTGGGAAAGTCAAAGTTGATGACGACGTTGACTGCCTGGATATCGATACCACGGGTAAGCAAGTCGGAGCAAACAAGGTTTCGGCATACACCATTACGGAAGTCGTGGAAAACGCGGTTGCGGTTGTGCTGGAGCATGCGAGCATGCGAGTAGAAACACGAGTAGCCGAGTTCAGTGATCTTCTTAGCGAGGAGCTCGACTCGGTTCGTGGAGTTACAGAAGATGATGGACTGGTTAATCTGGAGCTTGTTGAAGAGCGTGTTCAAGCAGTGGACCTTCTGCTTCTCTTCAACGAAAGCGTAGTACTGCGTAATACCGCGAAGTGTGAGTTCGTCCATCAGGTTAATCTCGTATGGGGAGTTCATGTGCTTGTCCTGGTCTGTGTCAGTAGAGTCGTCATGACCGGAGCGTCATGAAACGTACCTTAAAGCTCTTGACAACAATGGGAAACGTGGCACTGAAAAGCATGACCTGTCTGTCCTTGGGGTGGAAGCCAAGCAGCTGCTCCACAACCGGGGTGAACTCAGGGGAAAGAAGCTTGTCGGCCTCATCCATGACAAAGGTCTGGCAAGCTGAAAGGTCTGCTACGCCCTTGCCAGCCAAATCCAAAATCCTACCTGGTGTTCCAACAATAATGTGAACAGGATCGTTTAATCGTATGATATCGTCTTTGAGGCCCGTACCACCGGTCGAGACCATGACGTTGATTCCAAGGTGTTTTCCCAGCTGCTTGCATACCTGGGAGGTTTGTAGGGCGAGTTCTCGGGTAGGTACGAGGATGAGGGCTTGTGTCTTTGGGCTCTTGGGGTTTACGCGCTCGAGGGTTGGGATAACAAAGGCGGCAGTCTTTCCGGTACCGTTCTTCGCTCGTGCAAGGATGTCTCGGCCGGTAAGTGCTACAGGGATAGTCTCTTCTTGAATGGGTGACGGCTTCTCAAAGCCAGCCTCGAAGATGCCCATCATCAGCTCACGCTTGATAAAGAAGTCTTCGAATTCAAGTCCCTTAGTAGCAGTAACATCCTACGCGCGTGTTAGTACGTACTCCCCGCATTGCATATCCGAGCACGCCATACCTCTGTTTGTGGTCGCGCATCCTTTACGGGCGCGTTCAGTCCAGCCTTCCAATTGGCCTCTCCTGACGGTGTGGCATCGCTAGACGTGTCAGCGCGTGTGCTTGGGGCCTCTCACTCACCCACTACCAACTCACCTCAGCTGTGTTGCCGCTAGTTGGTTCGTGATTTCTGAAGTCATTGTGTATGTGTAGAGTCCACCGGAGGGTGGGGTCGCTGATCAAGACGTCAAGGTTCGCAGGTTATGGATGGAGCACGGGCTGAAGTGGGGGGCTTTCAAGTGGAAGCTCGTATCGTGTATGCCGACGAGAGTAGGGGCCGGCAATCTAGAGGGGTGATCAGGTCTCGTAACTGATAGAGACGTGAATTCAGATGTTTGGTGGTGCGTTTGCTGTGTCGAGGAAGCCGAATGAACCCCGAGAGAGATAGTCGCAGTGTTGGTGTTTCGCCTATACGTGGTGCGAATGGCGATGTGTATGTGTAAGTGCAGGTTCGCGCGAGTAGTGCTGCGAGTAGTCGGAGGCAATGAAAGCCTTTGGAGGTTGAGCGCAAGAGCGGGCGTGCAATTTTGGGTGGGCGAGGGGTGGTTTGTGTGGTGGTGGTGTAGCTGAGCGGGCCGCTTTATGCAAGAAGGAACTTGAAGATGGGGGAGGGCAACGGTCCGTGCGTACTTGTCATTGGGCTTTCTGACGTCGCTGCCTTGACTGTGACAAGCTTTGTGGGTAAAGTCCTTATTTCACTTGCATTTCAATTCACCTCTTGCAGCCTTTCTGTCTCAGCTTCCTTACTGGGCGTGTCCTCGTGTACGATAGTAGTATTGGGACAGACTCACCGGTTTCCTGTGCAACGCCACATCTGGATTAGGCCAACACCATATTTCCTCTGATATACCAAAACGCACGTGAGCAAGATACATGTAATTTTGTTCCACGAAGCATAATCTAATATATGCCCCAGAAAACAGGATAGAAATCTCGACTTTTCTACAAGATCGCACTTACCTGGGGAGAAGCATCAACACTAAATATTCGGACTTCACCATCTGGACCACGTACCTAACTGAACTACCCCAAACACTACCAAACCCCCAAATAATCCCCAAAATCCCCACCATGTCCTCTCTCCTTCGCCTCTCCAGCGCTCTCCGTACCCTCCGTACCCCTGCCACTAAACCCCCCTCCTTCTTCTCCCCCTCCCGCCCATCACCTTCCACCCTCAACCTCCCCCGTCCCCGCCACTACTCCCGCCGCAACTACCTTCCCTCCCACGACTCCCAAGTCTCCGCCAACACCAAAGTCCTCTATACCCTCATGGGCACCAACATCGCCGTCTTCAGCTACGCCATGTACCTCCAACAACAAGCTGCGCAAGGTTTCCCGGGCCCCTGGCACCGCTTCCTCCGAACCTTCACGCTCAACTACTCCGAGTTCAAAAACGGAAATTACATCCCTGTTCTCCTGGCAAATTTCACGCATATAAATGCCTGGCACCTCTTCTCCAACCTCTTCACGTTTTACTTTCTCGGTCAGTTCCTCGCGTCTGCGGCCCCGCTTATTACGCCAGCGAGGTTTTTGACAGTGGCAATCGGATCGGGGCTTTCGGGGAGCCTGGGGTACTTGGTTTCGCGGTATTATAGGATGCGGGATCAGAGCCCCCGCGCGCGGGATACGGTGAGGGGAATGGGGTTTTCGGGCGTCGTCATGGGGGTGAGTAGTGTGGCGGCTTGCTTGGCGCCGCATGCCAAAGTACTGATTTATGGGATTGTGCCGGTGCCGCTTTGGGGATTGGTGGCGGGTTATGCGGTGTATGATGGGTATTTTGTAAACAGTTCGAATACGACGATTGCGCATGGCGGGCATTTGGGGGGTTTGGCATTTGGGCTTTTGTATTATTTTGCGAAGCTGAGAGGGATAAGGTTTTGAAGGCAAAGTAAGATAAAAGGACCAGCCATGCAAAATCTCGTGTATTTTTTTCCTTTCACACGTTGTTCGCTTTAAAAAGCAGCATTTGATCACACCCACGTGCATAGATAAAAAAAATCGCAAACAACATAAATCTATTACCAGTCTCAAAACGTGCTATAATACACACACGTCCAAATGCTACATTTACTCAATCCCATTTTGCATGCAATCCCCTTCCAACAAAGAGAACCAGGGGACGCCACTTTATTACACTACTCAGCAATACAAATCGTAACCATTCTTCGAAAAACACAAATAATCTATTCCCCCGAGGATTGACAAAGGAAAACAAAGTGAGTGTCTGAACTCGACAACTATGAAAAAACATATTCTGGGTTTGCCGTCTTAGCAATGTGATATAGATACGTGCTGATAGTGGTTGGTCACTCACAAGAAGACCGTTGAGATACACCTCAATATCAGCCTTTTCGAAAAGGACTAGCTATCTCTTGCTCGTCGTCTATCTTGGGAGTCGGCTCGTCTTTTGTATGGTCGTCAGATAGAAGTGTGGGGTTTGGTAGACCTTCGGGTGTCCATGATCGGTCTTGTGGGCTGGCTGGAGCCACTGGGGCTTCTTCTTTCTGCTCCTTTTCTTCCTCCTTCTGCACCTCTTCGACTTGCGTCTCTTCTGCCACCTTTTCTGTTTCCTTTTTCTCATTCCCCTCAACCTTCGTCTCTGTTTCCACTGTCACTACTTCTTTTTCCTGCTCTTCTTGTTCTATCTTCTGCTCCTCTTCCTGCCCAACCTTCGCTTCGTCTTCGACAATGGATTTTTTCTGAACAGGTACCTCCTCTTTCTCTGCGATTTCTTCGTTTTCACCATTATCTTTCTCGAGTTTCTTTTCTTCTTCGATATTGTGTTCTTTCTCAGCCGTGTCCTTTGGCTGTACCGAACCCTCTTCTATGATAGTCTTCTCCTCCTCTCCGCCGTCCGAGCTATCATGTATAATCTCCTCAGACAATGCGCTCTTGCGTGGAAGAGGCTTCTTCCGCTTGATATTCTCTTTGTCCTCGTCAGTATCTTCGCCAACAAGCTCCTCAGAACGTCCACTCTTCCTCGGACGACCTCGCTTCTTTGGCACCTGGCCCTTTGCCTTCAACTTCGCTGCTTTTGCTGCCTTCTTCTTCGCAGCAAGTGAATAGTCCTCGTCTTCATCCGAGCCTTCTTTTTTCCAAGCGCGCCCCTTGCCCTTAAAGTGTTTCGGCTTGGTAGGCTCTGACTCGGCCTCTTCTTGTAGCAGCGCTATGGCTTCTTCGTCCAGTGAAGCTAGCAGCGCGTCGTCAACATTCCTGCTAAGCGAAGCGATGGATACTCTTCTGCTCTGTACGACAGGAGACGACATAGTCTCTTGGTCATGGACATCAACATTACCTGGCTCTACATCCTCGAACAATTGTGAATCATGGTAGTAAGGTCTCTGTTGAGCAGGCTTGCGAGTACGCAGGCCGCGCCGAGTTGAGCCAGGTGCGCTTGTCGAAGCAGGCGAAGCAGTAGCGGAGTCTGGATCACCATTTGATTTAGGTGTGGCGTCTGTATGAACAGAAATTCTCGGCTGGGTACCCTTGCCAAACGTGCTGGGTGTCGCTTGCGAGGAAGCATTGGCCTCACCAACGTCCTCTGTTACAGTTTCCTCGGACTTTGATTTGTTAGTAACGAATTGACAGTGCTGGAATAAAACATACAAGTTCTTGCTTCTTCGGTGTCTTCCTGGTGCTTAGTTTGAGAATATGACTCTTCTTAGGCGGATTTGCAACTGGTGCTGTGACTGGCGATTTCGGAGCTGTAAACTAGTTAGCCATTTCCCCAGAGCATAAAAACCAAAATAAACGGAACCCGAAAATCGGTGGTCAAAGAAATTGGTGGTTGAGGGTCTGAGGTGAATAGGCGGCAGCGCATTACAATGTGGGGTACGAAGTTTCACACATGGTTTTGTGCAACACATACCAGAACGGACAGGCAACGGAGACGCGATCGTGGACTTCGTGACCTCATCGATCGTGATATCCATAGGATCGTCGAGCTCATCTTCAGGCGAGATGGTCTCTTCCGACTGCACGCGCGTTAGTGAATGAAAGTAAGGATCACATTCATACTCACAATAGGCTTCTTCCTAGCCTTACGAGTAGAAGCCTTGCGTTTGCCATTCATGGTAATGGTAATGGTAGGAGCCGCGGGCATTGCAGTCTCAGCTCCCGGTGTTGAGGTTTCAGGATCTTTGGCGGCGTCATCACTATCACTCGCTGATGCGATAATCTCCTCTGACTGATAAAATTAGCAATTTTGAGCATTGTGCGTGGAGGATACGTACAAGTGGCTTCTTTCGCGCCTTTCGCTTCTTCTTGGCAGAGGGACTTGAGTCTTCAAGATTTCCAGGCTTGGACGGCGTTGCGGTTCCAGCCGAACGCGGTTTTCCATTGCCATTCATGGCTGCTGATTTCCTAGGACGGCCAACCTGACCACGTGGTTTGGTGGGTTGAGGTTTAGCTTTGACTGGCTGACCATTTTCGTCCTGGTGTTGTTAGCAAACATGAAAAAATGGACTCGATGATGAAATTTGACGCACACTGGAATCCGACTCTTCAAAAATGCGCAAAGTCGTATAGTACAGCGAGAGGCCGCTGGCGTGTTGATTCGACTGCATCCAGTCATCGTAAGGAAGGCGAGTGCCGGGATTTGCTTCTTTCCAGGCCTCGTACTCCTCGAAGCCATGCTTGTCCATCCACGATGAGGACTGGGCATCGCGAGACTTACGAGTACCCTTCTTGCCAGAAGCCAAATGACCGTTGGGCGCCATGATGATGCAGAGAAAAAAGTCGGAGAGATAGTAGAGGTTGGGCGACAATAGAAAAACTGCAAGGACAGACTAAGGAAAGTGGGTGTGAATGAGTGGCGCTGAGCAGAAAATGCGCAGTAAGAAATCCGGGCGACTGAAAGTATGAAATGAGCGCGCGCGGGTTTGCGCGCGCAATTGATGAATGTGGAGTGGAAAGTCGGTGTCGTGAAGAAAGAAAGTCCAGGTCCCAAGTCCCATCCGAGATGATCCACGCCTCGTGGCACGTTAGCTCAAAACCAACAACTTGTCGCCGGGGGGCGCGAGAAAACAAGCAGCAGAAGTTAGCTACTCAGAAGAAAGCAAATGACGTCAATGGAAATTTAGGTTGAGCTGATTCGCAGCAGGCATGATGAGCTGGACGAGAGAGAGGAATTGTAACGGAGAAGGGTCCGCGTACAAGGGAAAAGGCAATGCGCTAATAACAACCTCCAATTTCAGCTCGGCCACCTATCGAATCGAGGCATATCATCGCCTCCGGATCCACTCCTTGTGGTGAGACACTGCAAACGCCAGACACCCTGTTTGCATCTTTCGATAATGTGGCTTTCTGGGACTAACCCCTAAAGTCGCATTTCAGCTGCGTTATAGTAAGGATAATTCAGACTTGTTGATAAGGAAGCATGCATCCTCCCCCGTATCTTAGAATTGCATCTTGCTATAACATCTCGCATGTCTTCTGTCTCACGTCTATAAAATACCAACCTTTGTTCAATTCATGTTGGCCGCTGTGTTCACAACAACCATCATTCTTCGACGATGCACTCGCATCAACATTGCACCTCATTTATTTGCTACCTGAACTCTATTAAATTGATTCAGCTACGGCAACGCGCAGCTGAATGTAGTCGGACTTGGTATCACACTTCTCATGATTTTTTGTTTGCCAGCTTTCCACGGTACTCGGTTGTCTTCGTTTGTTCTCTTTGGTCCAGCAGGCATCCTAGCAGCTCCGCAAATCGCCACTTCTCCTAATATTGCCTTGGCCGCTGAGGTGATCGACGGACGATACACGTGAACAATGAACAAACGCACAAGGGCACAGTCCACGTAAACACCACTCAACTTCCAACATATCTGTAGATCGTCAGCACCTAAACATCGAACCCTGCAAACACACACGTAAGTACAGTCACCCTGCCTGTCCGAAGTATCCGCATCCATGGCTAGACCGGCCTTAAAAAAACACATATAAAGAGAGTCACTCATCACGGCATTCACTCTCACGAACCTAAACAATATGTTCAATCCAATGTTCTCATAACGCACCCCGACGTAATCAAAAATAAGTTATACGTGAAAACCAGCCAAATTCACACAAAAGGGGGGCCACCACAGCGCGAAATGCAAACATGGGTATACAGGGTCCACAAAATCTCCCCAAAGTTTCCCTCTCCCTCTCTCCCAGTCTAGTAAGACAAAAAAAAGCGCCCAGCTGGACCAGCAACGAAGCCAGATCCCCCGTCAGCTTTGTGAAAATGTGGAAGTAAAAAGAAGAAGAACACACAGACACACAAGGACGAGGGAAAACGGAAAAACGCCCAGGATAAGATGATGGTACCGCGAGATTGAGGAAAAAAAGGACAATGACATAACCCGTAATGAGTTCCCCAAGTTTCGTCGTCATCGGAAGGAAGCGGCAAGAACAAAAACTTTCTCGGTTGATTAAAGTAAAATGATTGCGAAAGAAGACGCATAAACTCTTTGTCCTTCAGAGTCATTGCAGCATTTTTTTAGAAAGAAAAATACCTTGTGAGAGAGATGGGCCAGATGAGACTGGAACTCCTATCAAGCCGACGAAGTTTGTTAGAGACTTATTGCTCCTAGAATGACTCCGGTGGACTCGGCATCCCATGTGCGCTACCATCTTCCTTTTCCGGCTCTTGCAGGTTGTGGTTGTCTCTCTGCACTGGTTCAAGTTTTAGTTTACCAATAGGCTTCCCAATGCCTTTCATGTAACCACTCTGGTCATTGCCATTCTCATCCTTTTCTTCATCTAGCTTGCGCTTCTTACGCGCCATTTGTTGCTGTTCTCTAAGCGGACGCTTGCGAGGACTCGAAATCTTGCCAGTAGGTGGCAAACGAGGCTTGGGAAAGCGTTGCTTGGGCGGAAGGTCGTCGTCTTCAACAAGCGGCTGGCTGTTGTTGTCGTGAAGCTTGCTATAAAGCCAGCTCTGGAGAAGGCCGATCTGGTGCTCCGCTGTCTGAAGGGTAATGGGTTCGAATTTGGGTGGCTCAGGCATGATAACACCAGTGGTGGCAACGTTGCTGTCATGGTTAGCAGAATCATAATACAATTACACTGTAGTACATACCTGTTGTCCTGTCTAGCGTAGGCATTGTGTACCCTGTTCTGGAGCAGGTGCAATGGTACACTGGCAGTAAGTCCAAATTCGACATCAAGGCCGAGTTCCTTGAATCCGAAGAAGTCCTCGCCAATGTCTTCGGCAAAATCACCACCCACAAACTGCTCGCTTCCATCGTTGAAAGCACCAGCGCCGTCAGCGCCAGCATTCTCGATTGCTGGACGTAAAAGCTCGGCGTAGTATGACCGCATCCTGTCGTGCATGCCGGCCAGCTTCGTTCCAAGTCTTTCGACGTCGTCCTTGACGTAAGCCTCCAAAGACTCCAGGTCGACACCATTGGCATGCAAAGAGTGGAGCACAGCTTCTTCTTGTGTAAAGCGCGTAGTCCAGTTGGTAGTTTGACCATTTGGAAGCGTGATTGGAACATCGGACTTCATCTTTGGTGTTTCACGATAGACCCCAAGACCTGCAACAACATTGTGGAAAAACTTTGCTGCAATGTCCGTTACTGCATCCAGAGCCGAGGGCTGGAACTCTTCAAAACCGGCATGATAGAATATCTTGCCAACACTTCGTTGAAGAGCAGCGCGACAGATATAAGGAGCCATGATCGGACCATCTTCTGAGGTAACTATTGGCTCGATGTCTGCTTCCATGAACGGCTGCGGCTCATATCTTTGAAATTGATTTTGATACAGCTACGAACAGTTAGCGATCAAAATTCTCTTATCTATCGACGGAAATCTTACCTGCGACTGAAGTTGCATTTGCTTGACAATGCCAATCTTTGCGCAAATCTTCCTCGTCTCTTGCAGTGTATGATTGTTACTGTCGAACTTATGCACAAGTGCACTGTCTGGCGAGACGAATTGTCCTTTGGGAAAGACGCGCATGTACTCTTCGACCTGCGGAATTACTTGACCCTCGGCGTCTTCAACCCATTGTAAACGCTCAGAAAGGTCAGGCATAGCGCATACGGGGTCATAATAGTCTGGGATCTGACGCTCTTCTTCACCCTCAATGCCTTCGGCAAGCGACTCTCCAGCAATGGTTTGAACACCATCTTTGCCGTCAAGTGCGGTGGCTGCTCCGTTTGCAGACTCCTCTTCGATGGCTTGCTTTTTGTGTCGTAACCATCTCCGCATACCGGCTTTTGTGCGCAGGATGGCTGGCTCATCGGGCTGGAGGTGGTCATCGCGGAAGAGTCGATGTCTTTCTGATGCTATGATAGCTCGGTCTTTCTTCGTTACTTGTTTCCATGTTTTGTACTCCAAGTCGTCCAAGTCAGCATCCTCGTCCAAAGCATCACTGACTGAGACACCAGTGCCATCAGCCTCCGAAATATCGGCTTGACTGCCGTTGATGCCATTTTTTGAGATACTGTTTGGTCCCAATGGGGTTGCTGTGCCGGGTGGGGGTGTTGAGAAACCGTTCACGCTGCCTTCCATTTCCGAGTCTGCCCGTAAGAACTCATTCTTCAGGTTGGAGACTGCGTTATTCAAGGATGGAACTGGTGGTTTGGTTTCGGGTCCTGGTGTGTCCTCCAGGCCTGCTGGATGGGCTTTCCTTGTCGTGCTTGAGCCTTTACCTCCTTTACTTGGGGCTTTTCTGCCCCGCGAAGCCATAATCGGCTCTTCGTCTTCACTGTCGTCGGCACCATCTGCATCAGCGTCGCCATTGCGCATTCTCCTCTCCTCCGCTTCGACCTCTGCACGATCGCGGACGGTGATGTCTGGGATGAGCGGCACAAGCTTCTCGGTCTCTTTCTTCATGTGTAGAGCCTTCTTGCGCAGGAAATGGCTTGGGTCTGCATTGTACTTTAGGCAATTTGACCAGATGAGCATGAGATCATCAACAAACTCCTTCTTGGACTTGTACTGCAGTTGTTTGAGCTTTTTCATCATGGTGCCAATGTCCATGGGATGCTTGATGACGTTGTAGTAGTCGGGGGCTTCCCGCTTGTTGACACGCTGAAGGAATGGGTGGGCGTGCTCATTGGCTTTGAGCTCCATGAGAACCTTCTCTGTGCTCTCGTATAGTTCCTCCTGGCCAACACGGTCCTCGTTGGCCCATTTGCTCCTGTTCTTACGGACTTCGCTGATGAGGCTGCGCAGCTGCGCATCCGTCGCATGGACACGGTCTCTTTGGGCATCAATACGCGAGATGAGGTGCTTGAGGGTCAGGCTGGACGCGCCAAGGTTGGTGGTGCTCAAGGTCCCCTGCTGGGGGGCAGCGGCGGCAGCGGCAGCCGGGGCATTGGCAGACGCGCCAGAAGTCTCTGCTTCTACCTGTCGGTCGAGTTCGTCAAGCTTTTGTTGCTCCAGCATCGCGTCCCTGTCGCTCTCGAGTGTGTAAAAAAGGGTCTGGAAGCTGCGCTTGGCGGCATCTTCGGCGGCCTTCTTGTCCTGTTGTAGTTTCTTTCGCACATCGTCTGATGACTTTGTATGGTCTGAAGAAGGTGTGCCTGTCCGGTCGTGGCCGGATTTGTTCGATGTGGATGGGACGCGGAGGAGGCTTGGCGTGCTGGGAGTGGTGGCGGCAGCAGCAGCAGCGGCAGCGGCACCATTGGTCGCGCTTTTGGATTGCAGCGGTGAGGTCTGACTGTCGTCTTCGTCATCCTCATCGTCGTCGTCGCCGTAGTCGTCTTCGTCAATTGCGCGGGTTGGCTTCCTGGGTGTGATAGCCGGTCGCGCGTCATGCGCCGCCGGGACATCATCGGATGACGGCCCCGGCGCATTATCTAGAGCATCAACAGCATCGCCCTCGAATGTTCCTCCGAGTACTGCTGCCAGACGCGCTTCGGTACGCCGATAGTGGTCTCGCCAGCGCGTGGCTCGGGGGTCCTCCTCGGTCGTGATGTCTCCCCCGTCCCCTAGGTGGTTCGCGTTGGAGGCGTTTGACATGGCCTCATCGTTCAGCGGCGCATTGGGGGTGCGCAAGTGGGTCGCGTTGGGAGGCTGATGCGGGAAGCGGGCATGGCTTGGGCGGTCTCGCGAGGATGGCGGACATGATGATGATGATGCAGCGAGGGACATAGTCGTCGTCGTCGGTTGTGGGGGGGTCTTGGCAGTTCGCGGCCTCACGGGGATGGCCCGCCTTCAGGGCGACGTCCAACCTGGTGCAGGTGTCGCGACGCGATAAAATCAAGCATGGAAGGAAGGTCTACGTCGAGCGAGTGGATTTCTGATGGCTGCGAGATGAAAGACGTGGTGTGGGCGCGCCTATTGATGGCCGAAGATGCGGCTCGTGAGTTTGGCGTCGTTGTCTTAAGCAGGTGGTCCAACTGTCCAGTCTGGCTAGGTAGGCACGCCTTAGCTCCGTTAGCGATGCTCCCGCCGCGAGCCCCATGCTTCACCCACGCCCCAATATCAAACGGCCTCTGCCACCACATATCCCCCACAACAACGCTTGCGGGCGCGCAGATGCTTTCGAGTGCACATGGAATGGCTTTGCCCAGCTACTTGTTATTTTTATGCAGTCGACAGAAGGTGATTGAGCGTGCTGGCCGGCACTAGCATTCAGGGCGCAACCATGGTAACTCTGTGTCTGCTACGTCGATTGCCTCGTATTCCTACCAAACGCCAGGCATGCAACTACTGGGCATGCCAGGAGTGCACGCCATGCCCAAAGGACTGTTGAAGTGGCTGTGCGGACAAGGCGTGGTAATGCGAACACGTTCAAGCCCTGTGTGTGGAGCGCCGCCTTGTCATACGTACATAGCAGCGCCCCTGCGACTGCAGAACTACTTGAGGCCATTCAGCTAGGTCCATGCATGTATCCTCGAATTGAGAACGAGCCCAGCACAGAGTACCCCAGGTTTGCTGATTTTCACAGGTTCCACACGTGATCGACAGTAACGTTGCCTGATTGGGCTTAGCCCATCCGGCCACGGCCAGGTTCGCCAGATGCCAGCTTGTGACATGAACGTTGCAGTCCGCGCTGCGCCCGAGTCTGACAGTTGTTTTCCCGTACCGTGAGCATGAAGTCACCTTCCCGGACCTCCTAGCCCACTTCAACAGCCCATGATGCGGATACGGAAACCCTTTGCTGGTACGTAGCTTCTGACGTCGCTGAGCCAGCGAGCTTTCAACACCTTTCCGAGCACAGCGCATATGCGTGAGCAGGAGATGGCCATGTTCTGACCGTCCCATTGTCCATGCTGTTCGCTTGCATTTCCTCTCTCGATGGCTGCATAGGGTCATGCTAACATCCCCAAAGGTGCCTTTGTTGGCCTCATCTTCATCAGCGCAGCCGCGGGCTTTTCCCCACCAGACTACAAAATCCCCACGTACAAGCAATCGGATAAAGCGCTCCACTTCACAGCCTTCTTCTTGCTTACCCTCTGCTTCTACTGGATCCTCGAGACGAACAGGAGAAAGGTGGTGCAGCTAACCTTTACCGTCTGTACGCTCGGTCTGGGATTTGCCAGTGAGGTCATCCAGGGATTGTTGCCTGTAAGTTTACCCTGGACTTGTGCAAGGTTGCCGGAGTTGCCGAGAGCAGCAGCGCGCATCTATGCACTATAGGACCATTTTAAGCGAGGGAGATGAACAAAGCTAACCCGCGTCCAGATACATCGCGACTTCGACTACTATGACATCGTAGCCAACGTCCTCGGCTCTCTCCTCGCACTAGGCCTTTGCAATTGGTACCATAAGCGCATGCTTGAGCGCAAACGAGCTGCACGTGGATACACTGCAGTTGCTGGAGACGAAGAGAGAGACATTGAGTTGGGAGAGAATGTCGAAGGACAAGAGTCGGGCATTGTCAGACCCACGGTAGAGGAAGAACTCGATCGATGGGATGAGAATGCTGAAGACTGGGAGACGACGGAGCCTGAAGCCATCAATGGGAGGAAGAGTCTCGACGAAGACGGGAAGAAACGGAGTGACTGAGGCCGAAACCGATATGATACATGTGGATCTTACCAACGCTGGTGGGGTGGGAGGACAGATGCTCTTGGTATGGCAGCAATTGATATCCTCCTGTACGCCACGTATGTTGCATGCTTGACGTCACCTTGTTTCGCGCAATCCACCAGGCCAGTGTCTTTCTCTAAAACCACCATAGCCTTGAAGCCCGGATAAAAAGGACCTGCTGCCAAGTGTTGTGTCCACCCCTGCCTAGCGAACACATGTACATCACCAGAGCGAATGAGAAAATGGTGCAAGTCGACTTGGATATTCGTTTACAAGTTCATAGCTAGCTCTCGGTGCTCAAGCAGGCAATTCCGAGCGAGCCTCAACCATGATTCGTCATTTGGCCTGCCCTATCTTCCGTGGATTCATGCATTTTCCAGTATGACACTCCGAAAGAACCATAAGACCCACACCAAGCGCCGTGATCAATTCCTTTCCATACCCGCGCCCCGCTTAAGCAGTGGTAGTCTTAGCAGCAGCCTGGTTGGGGTTGATCTTCTTTCCGTCCTTGTTGTACCTAACACGTGGGGGAGGAGCACGGTTGCGGCGTCCTTCGCGCGAGCGGACACTGTGCATGTTAGAACACGGGCGCACTAATTCCCTATGAAGGCGTGACGTACCGGACAATCTTGCCGTGAATAGCGCATGAGACGCAGTACTGGAGCTTCAGGTACATCTTGGGGACAGTGTACTCGGGGAAGACGGAGGCATCGGAGATATCACCTGGTTTTGTCAGTCTTGGATATCCAAAATTCGCTCGCCACCTCGCTGTTTATGGCCGTTTGGTGCGGTACGGGGGTCGTTTGGGAGACGTACGGATGGCGGCAGACTCAACCATGTTACGGATGGTGAATCTCTTGATCGCCTTGTCCTTGGGAGTGCATCGCGAGCAGTTGGAGCAACGGATGGGCTTGACGTGGCCGCGACCCTTCTTGTTACGGCCGTTGGACGCTCGCTTCTTGACCATGTTGGGCTGATTCTGTCGAACGATGTAAGCGGATGTCTAGGTGAGCGAGGCACGGAGTGCGTACTGAAGATGTGGAATCTAAAAGTCAGCAGTGGGGTGTTGTCGTGAGAGTCGTTCCTGACGTCGGATTCGTGAAGTCGGGATGCACGAGTGTCGAAATTCGCTTAGAGAGGTGCGGATCTAATCTTATCACTTGGCATTGATGGCGCTAGCCGCATGGGGCTGCACTGCCTCCCCTCGAGTGTGTAGTGAGGACCGCCGAATCACTTTCGAGCGTAGACGAAATTCTGTGCATAATTCTGCAGATGCATGCTGTCATTCGATGGTAGCCCCTATTCTTTCTGTCTGAGCGTATGGTCGGAGCTTACTATCGCTGACATGTGATTGTGAGTTTCGTTATAATGTTCTATTCATATGTATTCGACGCACGACAATTGCAGTTCTTGAACAAGACTGTACATGATTGTTACTAAGTGAAAGAGCGGATGCTTTACGTTCATGACTATTCCGCATAAGAACATTGGGCGGGTCAAATCGGGAAAGAGAAGACTCGACATGCTCCGATATGCAATCGAAAAGATAGAAACGTTGTCGTCTCTCTCACGGAGGCACGCTTGCAGATATGAGTCAATGCGTGAATTTTCCATGTGTAAAGGGGTGTGTCTGCTTCTGTTGCGTCCACAGCCTCACGAGAAGCCCGATCAGGGAACCAAAACACATGACTTGGAAGAAATTGGAGACGCGATCTTGCTTATATGGTGGCGATTCCTGTCGCTGCACGAGACGTGGACACGTCAGGTGCCGCGGAAACTGGGAATGTGGTGAGTGGCGGTCTGGGCAAGGCGCTTGATCCATAGGGATTGTTTTCGTCTAGCAGCTATACCCTGGCAACCACATCGACCTCCGTATAGGCCGCTGGAATCCTTCTTACTGGCCCCTCCTCCGCCAACCAGGCAGAACCAGCTTTGCAGCAACAACGCACACGACGTCGCCATGTCGCATACTGGTGCCATGCGGGGGACGCCCAAGAACTCGAACCGTAACCAGCCCCAGCATCTCGGCCACAGCCCTTCTGCCATCCCGCGCCCCTCTGGTTTGGAGAACCATACGCATGTCACCCAGAGCGATGCGGGCGGCTCTTCGCTCAGCGCCAGCCGGGCCAAAATGTCCAAGAGGGACGACGTGAGTGGCCCTGCTGCATGTGTGCGACTGCATACTGATTTTGCGACAGGCCATTCGGCGAAAGATTGAGACGGATCTCAATAAGAAGAAGAATATTAGCGGACGAGTTCGGCCCTCCAAGAAAGCCCCGCCCGGCACCGTCCTCGCCCTGAAGCCGTCCCCAGCACTGCAAATAAAGCCATCGACCACGGTCGCTGAGGCGGCACAGTTGATGGCAGCCAAGCGGGAGGACTGCGTCTTGGTAACAGATGATGATGACCGTATTGCGGGTATCTTCACAGCCAAGGATCTTGCTTTCCGTGTGGTCGGCAATGGCATCAAGGCTCGCGACGTCACAATTGAGGAGATTATGACCAAGAACCCCCTTTGCGCAAAGACTGATACAAGTGCGACGGATGCGCTGGACCTCATGGTCAGGAAGGGCTTCCGCCACCTTCCCGTCATGGATGAGAACCACGACATTTCAGGTATTCTGGACATCACAAAGTGCTTTTACGATGCTATGGAGAAACTGGAGCGGGCGTATGCCTCCTCGCGTAAATTGTACGATGCTCTTGAGGGTGTGCAGGCAGAGATGGGCTCGAGCCAGCCGCAGCAGATTATTCAGTATGTCGAGGCAATTCGCCAGAAGATGTCCGGCCCTACTCTGGAATCTGTCTTGACGGGTCTCCCTCCAACAACTGTATCTGTGCGTACTTCAGTCAAGGAGGCTGCGGCACTCATGAAGGAGAACCACACAACCGCTGTTCTGGTGCAGGACAATGGCTCCATCACTGGTATCTTCACTAGCAAGGACGTGGTTCTCCGTGTTATTGCCGCGGGGCTTGACCCAATGACTTGCAGTGTTGTGCGAGTAATGACTCCGCATCCCGACTTTGCGCCAGTGGACATGAGCATTCAGTCTGCTCTGCGCAAGATGCATGGTACGTGGATTGCAGGGAACCCTTGTCTAACGCATGCGCTAACA